AAGTTTTTGTTTAAACACCTTTAATCTATTTCAAGTCAGGAGTTATGAAAACTTTTTAGGAATGTTGATTTATATCGTCGTTTAGCAGTATCGAAAAATCTTATATATAGAGAAGCATCCTCACATAAACAAAACGTACTAAAGTAGAAGGATATTCTGAGATCGTTCAGTTTTTCTACTGACGATTAAGCAAATTTTGGATTAATTTAGTGAAAATTGTTCGCGGTGCTCTGAATCAGTATGAGATCTAAAGGATCCTAAAAGATCTCTTAATGGATATTGCTGATATCAGTTAACTAATTTTAGATGATAAATAGAATATAATTGACATTAATTTTAGAACAATTAATATTTCCTTGGTGGAATGAAATTTATAACAATGATCCAGAAGTGGAAAAGAGTAAGTGCTTGTCTGACATATTCACAGCCCGAAATATCAGTGGTTTAGAATTTTGTAGAGGACGACCAATATCCACTGAGATGTAGCAGTATTACGAGAAGTTTAAAGATATGTATTGAAATAATTCTTGATCCATACACTTATTTAATTTGTTAATAATTCCTTTGCATCTCTTAACTTCTGATATTTTCCAAAGGCTGCGAAACATTGCAGCACAGAAGCATTCTCTGACCCATTGATTTTCAGCTATATTTTTAACTTGAATTTCTATAAAATTTTCATTTATTGCAATGGGAGTGGGAAAAGAAGAACAAGAAAGATCGCGTCATTGAGGTGGGGATGGAAAAGGAAGAATTGAAAAGATTATAATATTGAAATAACGATTGGAAGGAGAAGAAAGGAAAGAGTGAATGTGTAAATGAGATAAGAGTGGAAAGATTGCATTTGGTCGAGACATAAAATTTTGAGTTTAATTAGAGAAATTGGAATATTTACAGCTATTTTGCTATTTGTTTATTCAGCTTTTTGAACTTTTCACTTCAATTTTTAGCTTTAACTGAATTGTATAATTTGATTATATTTATTCATTTATATAAATGTTGCAAAGACAAAGAGAAACATAAATTGCTAACAGAACAACAATATACCTAAGGTGTAAATAAATATGGAGAAGAATGAAATAATTCACTTTAAATATCTGTTCAATTTCTATCTTAACCTTTCCATAAATGAACTAAATTAAATTTCAAAAATTTATCGACCATTATTCATCCATCCATCCATCAGCCATTAAAATTTACCCTTTGGAATTCTTACAAAAAGATTTACGACAGTTCAAATTTTGTTTGCAAATGTGATGAACAAAAATTTGCTTCACATATGAAACTTTCTTGTGTTAGTAGTAATTATGTTATTTCAGAAAAAAACCTCAAATTTTTGGTAAGTGCACATAATCTATAAGTTAAAATATTTCAAAAGGTGGAATATGAGCACGGCAGAACTGAGAACAAAAGAAAGGGAAAAGGTCAAGAAATAAATATATCACTAGCGTTACATTATTATATAATATCCATGCGCTAATGTCGCATAACTCTAGCCACACTATTTGCAATATAACTTCATTTAGATAAGTTATATATTTAAAAAATTTCAGCCATATTTTCCACCTCATTGGATGCTTTTCTTCCCAAACTCCTAAAATTGTCTCAACGACAAACATTAATTGCCTAAATTTTAATTAAATGATTAAAAAGTGACCTGCAAATAATATGGCTTCAATATTTTGACAAAATACTTTAAACTGACAAAATTGAGGTAGAAAATTTAATTTCCGGCTCATAAAAGTAGACCAAAAATCAAAATAATTTTTACGCCAATAACATAAAAGAATTTTACTTTTGAATTAAGCCGAAAATCTAATAAATCTGCACAAGTTGTGCTTCTTCGGAGAATAATAATAAACTTTCAAAGAACCATGCAAGTATTAAATATAATTTTAAAAATGTTATTCATAAGTGCTCACAAATAGTGTTGAGATCTCCTACAAATCTATTTCTTCTTATTTGCTGCCTGATTTTATTCAAAAAAAAATTTCACTTTAACTGATAACAATAATTGCAGTAAGCAAACACCACAATCCAACTAAACCTCATCTTCTGAACAATGTTATTATTATTATTATTATTATTATTAAGGAGGTGATTTCGTGTTTTTTTTTTTGAATTATATTGAACATAAGCTCTGAAATATATTTGCCATGAAATTATGCTACATATAATATAAAACAAGAATCAGTCTTTGGCTGTACAAAGTAAAATTTCACGAATTTTCTTTCGAAATTTCTTCTTGCAATTCAAACCGACTGTTGCAATTATGTCCATAACAGCAACAAAATGTACTCCTGTCAGCAACGCATTTGCGCTGCTCGCAATTGTTCATCGATATCTACAGCAATCACTTATTAAAATTGGTGGGAACAGTTCAGTTTTCCATGTTTCCTTCTCTCTTCCTACAGTCCCACTGATTTCAAATTTAAAGCTAATAAGTTGGTACCAAAACTAATACCTATTCTGATATTGTTTTAAAATTAGATAACAAAACAATCTGTCAATTCTTTTTTTAAACAAAATATCGGATTTTTCTTTTTTTCTCTCTTTCACTCTTATTTAATATGTATGTCGAATAAGGCCTCATTCATTAAGGAAGGATTAGTCCTTGAATTCAATCATGCTTTCCGTAAGAGATTAGCATTCCTACGGGATAGAAACGTAAAAATAAACTTACCGCTTGCTGCACCCAGCAATCTTGCACGAGTGTTTCACTCTTCATATTCCAAATCGCATAACATCCAACGCGCATATCATCTGATGGTGGTCGGTAACATCGTTTCACCTTCAATTCAGCAGATAACAAATTTTGTATTTTTATTGAATTTTGTTTATTATAAGATGCCAAAGCTAAGAAAATGGGAAGTGATCAGGTGCTTTTATAAGAATGAGAATAATTGAGACAAACCACAGAGCTTCCGTCGAGCAAACTTTTCCGGCATTTCACATATTCTCGTCCGTGAACATCGAAGCTTGTAAGCTGCTGAATGGACGATTGTACGCGATGTCGACGTAGCAGTCTTCAAATGTTTTACAATTGTGAGCGCATGCAATCACTTTGACGATAATAGATAGTGAACTATGAAAACAGGGTTCCTTCCTCCCTTCATCCTGGAAATTTGATTAAACAAATCCGACCTGAAGTTTCAAAAATAAGGTTCTCTCTATTAATGTCCTGAATTTAAATTTGAAGTAAGGTTTCCATCATGATTTAACTGTCCGTACAAAACCATAAAATAAGGAGCATGAGTTGTCTACTTGAAAGTACGGTATGAGAGAAAACATCGATGCTCGGATGAAAAACATGACTTTTGCTAAACCGCGGGAGAAGAGATGAAGGGAGAGAGAGGCGATTGAAAACAGTGAGAAAAACCTTGCTAGCCTACCGATGTATCCTGTGATGTCGAGTGTTCTGTTTTGCACGCTCCAGAAAACTATCAATCAAATCGGACACATCCAATTCGTCATCATCCACTACCGTATTCCGGCTCGAAGACTTCGTCTGTAGCAGATTGGTAGAGCACAATAGGATAAGTATAAATATTTTGGATAACGTTGATGCTAATGATGCCATTGCAGATTAATTAACAATAGTACTGCAATAATCATCATAATGATTAATAGAGTACCGATAGCTGTGATCTGACGAAGATCAGAGCTTCATTCAAAACATTGCAGGTTAAGGAAAGCTATTAGAATGAGAAATACCGCAAGCAGTAGTCATTTATAGGCCCCCCAGACTGTTGACAATTTCGAAAAACAAATGGAGTTTTGTCCTTTTATGTGTAGTTGGTGCACTTTATAACACATTTTAAAACAGAAATGAAAAAGACGAAGTGCTCAGGTGGTTCACCCAATCATTTATCTGCCAGAAGAGAGTCTCATTTGCGCCCTCTTCGAAGAGACCGTTAAAGTGCACCTCTTAATTAGTTTGTTTATGAATGAACATGTCATTTCTAAACCAACTTCCAATCAATTCATTTCTCCTTATTTTTACCGTTTCTTGAGAATTTACAGACTTGTTTTTATTCACACTTTGTCCTAATTTTTATAGAAAATATTTGTGACTGTAATAAACTGTTCTATGAGAAATAGTTGGATATTTAGAAGTTTATGTAATATTTTTGATGTCTGAGACAAACTTGTTCTTCAACAGGCTAAACCAGTCCATTTGAGATTTTCATTTTCGTGATTAGCGCTGTTGTCGCGCAGCAAAAGGGTAGGTCCAAGCGAATTCATTCTTAATCAAACACACAAACTATCTGAGAGGAATAGTGCATAAAGGGAGACATAAAAATAAGCAATGCATACTTTAAGATGAAATTGATATGATGAGATTGCAATTATCCTATCGCCTAGCGCTTATGTATCAAATATTCTCAACAAAATGCATTCTTTGGGAACTGTAGAAGAGGTGCTAATGCTCTCACTGGCTTCGTTTATAACAATTCATTCACATGATATTAGGGACTCAAATGAGTGCGCCTTTAACTGCGCATTATTTTGAATGATGGCAATAAATATTGGACAGGAAGATGTATGAAATGAATTACTGTAAGATAGCGGAGAGGTGAATGGAGGAGATATGATGGAGTAAGATGATATCCGTGCAGCACCGGAGATCAGGCGATAGAACTGCGGAATGATTAGTAGCGGACAAACATCATCAGGGAGGGTGGCAATAAAAAGAATCTCTCTTCCATCAACCAGTACAGACAGACAGGCAGATAGACAGACATATAATGAACGGACAGACACACTTCTCACAATGAACTCATAAAAAACAGAGAACAGGTGAAATGAGAGGAAGAGCAACAGGTACGTTAGAGTCGAGCAACGACCGCAGACGACAACTGTGACGAGGGCAACTTAACGAGCCTTCAGAGGAAGAAGGAGCGACTGACCCTCTCCCAGACATAACAAATCCTACCTTGGCCGGTCGGTCGCTTACTCAGAAATAGTTTAATAGATGGGAAGGGAAGGAGAAAACGGAAATGACGAAGTCATTGAAGTTGATTACAGAGCTGTCTGAACAGGTTCTATGGAGGAAAGAGGCGGAAGTAGGAATGGGTAAACATCATTGCAGTGTAGAAGGAGACACCCGGAAGGAGACACCTACGCTGATGCTGTCGACCTTTTCCAAAGATTGTGAGCATCGAAATGCCTGGAAGACGAAAGCGATAGCCGCTCGAAGAACATGCCCACCATTGTCACACTCTTTAGTGGAACAGATGGGCTCCTCATATCGGTATGTCTGGCTTCAAGCGTCTATTACCTGCCTAAAATATGTGCGTCATCCATGCCAAATCAATGAATCATCCAATCATCCCTTTACCATCTTTCTACCAGATGCCTCCGTAAACAGGAATTTGGATAAAAAATTATAATCTTATCATTTCAACATAAGAAATTGTGTCTCTCCACAGCTTATGATATGTCATTTAATGCTGAATGCATGCAAAAGTCTCCTAACTGACCAATGCAATAATATAAACAATGCAATGTGATTTCTGTCATAAACTCAAAACTGCGGGATAATTGTTTGATAAGTCAACAGAAACGAATAGGGGAGCTGATTTCCATGATACACTTAATAACACTACATTACAGTTCTAAAGCAATAGCACAGTCCATGTTTCACTTTAATTAGATTATGAAATTAACTATTTAATCAATTTGGGCTTGGCTAGTACTTTGGCTGTAGCATCTCATTAATGTAACTATTTCCAAATGAATCTGTTATTCTGAGTGATACAACAAGCTATTTATTTTATTTAAAAAATTCTATAACAGTGTCAAATCTAAAATGATGTAAATATGCATGAGCTGCTGCGAATAGCCGAACTTTAGTTAAATTAAAAATTACAATCAAATATGTGTGAAAATGTTTATATATAATATGTAGAATTAATCAGTAAATCAGTTCTTTGAGATACCTGATTCAGTGCTTTTTACTTCTTAAATTAACAAAAAATTTGATAGAATGGAATGATGGCGAATTAAATTTTTGAAGAATGTTGGCCAAAAACATTCGAGAAATAACAAAATGAGCGCCGTCAATATAAAGTACATATTTCAAGTCTAGACTTTCCTCCTACTTAGACAAAAAACATTTGCAGGAACATAAATCATTCGCATATAAACAACTTGAAAAACCTTCTTCTTTAAAAAATGGTTTTAATCTCTGCTTGAATAAATAAGTTTGAATTATTCATCTAAATATTATGAATGATAGAATGAAATGAAAATTTACAAAATTGATTGGCATTATGTCATTTTGTTTTGCGGATACTAAAAATATAGAAATAATAGTTCTTCAAGGAAAGATCTAAGAATTGAACAATTCAGGCAGCTCCGATCAAATTTCTCCAGACATTCATTTACATAAAAATTTTTCATTACATTTGAATTGCTCAGCATTTCATATATCATTGCCTTCATGTATGTATATGTAAGCGAAAACAGGCACATCGATTGCACATCTTAAGTTTATTCCGAATCACTGTCGTAGACCGTATATTATTGCTTCTACTGATACGTAGTGATAATAATAATTGCAATGAAAAAGAACATGTTAAGAAAGAATGGCTAAAACAGTTATCATTTTAATAGTTATTGCGATCCGACTGCTGCACAAAATGTTGCTCAGGCGATACTCGTTTCTGATAGCGGAAATTTCAGAAGATGGTGGAAAGATGGACTAGAAAATATTTTATGTTGCTTACTTCACCTTTGATCAGAATATATGGAAAAGAAAACAGAAGGATTCATTGTTCGATGTTGATCCTTCTTTCATGTTTAGAGAAAATTAATAGGTGTTCAATAGCATACTGAGGAGAAATATAATCTTTTTATGATGAAAGAATTGAAGTTATTTTTTCCTACAATAAACTAAACTTCAAGATCCGGTTCGAACAGGAATAGGTGATTTTCAATATCTCCAGTGGTACTACAGTTGTTGCATTGCCAAATAATTTGCACTGTTCAGGAGAAATATTGCATACTTGCATGGGTGGCGAAAAGAGGACAAATGAGACATAATCGTTTGTGTGTTCGATAGGACGAGATGCGGAAGAAGACGAATTCCAAGACGAGGCAAAGTTCTTTGAGATGTTTGTTTTTTTTGAATCGCACCGTTTAATTAAACATAAAAACTTGAAGAGGATTCAATATAAGGGATTGCAATTCAAAATTGTCAATTGGATCATTTGTCATTTGAGAAAAATACGTTTCTGAAGGATCCGGATAACCCGAAGAATGCTGATATTGCCTGTCAGAGATAACTAAAATTTCAAGAATTGCTCTTTTTCCAGGAAGATTATTCGGTAAAAAAATGTAATTTTATAAAGTTCAGGGAGCAAAAGTGCTTTTTCAAAAAAACTGATCCTTTGCTTAAAAGTTCACAACCAAAGATTAAGAGTAAATTTGGCTTCCCGGGCCAATGCCACCCATTCACTCCTACTGCACCTTCCGCAGTGGTAAACGACAACTTTAATATAATGAAATATTTGTATAAACAAACAATCTGTTCCCCTTAGCAATTTACCTTCACTATACGCATCCTAGAAATTAATATTTCTTGTGCGTACACATTGATATATGCATGCAACATGCATTGCATATACATACGCATGCTTATGGGTAAGAACCACTAGACTGGCATGTGGGAGAGAAAATAGCGGAATGATGGATAGATGAGCAGGTAGGAAGGGCGAAGCCGGTGAATGACGCAATGTTTTGTTGCCGAGGAGTGGGAACAACTGGATGATGAGTTGTTCGGTTTAGACAAAGGCGGAGTGAGGAAGGGGTTACATCGCCAAGGGCGATTGGGGAGTCGTCGGCTCACACCGATGGCACTGTGAATTCGGTTTCGGGCAAGAAAAGGACATTTCTCTCAGGAATTCCAGTGATAGAGCTCAAGAATGAGAAAGAATCCCCTCTTCACTCCTTTCCGCTATTTCCGAAACTGGTTTACGGAGTATGCAATTCTTTCAGCTTTTAACCTGTACGTCAACCTAACCCATATTTTTAAGCTATAGAGAGATAGCGCCTCAGGGATCAATAATTCATTTTTAATCATCTTCCAATGTGGCATACCAATTGTAGCTAATTCCAACACTGACTCTAATTTATTTCCAAAAATTTTTAATTCTTCAAACCAAATTCCACACCTTTCGAAACATATGTTACCCGTCTGCCAATCTTCTAGACAACTCTTTCTCTCTAAACACTTGACCGGAAGTCGGAAGTTTTTTCAACAAAGCTAACGGCAAATTTCAGCAGACAATGTCGTCTCACTTTTACTACTTCAGCTCCCCATGCACACATGTAAGGCGGATTATTTGATGTACAGACTAAGCAAGGCAGAAAATAACTTTTCAAATTATTTCACTTTCGAATGTTATGATCGAATGATGATGTTACCACTCTGGAACTTTCTACCATCGCGGGAAATGTCTGGGAAGTTGCTAGAATTCGAGACCGGAATTTCTATACAATGTCAGTAAAACAAATTTGGGTCATATATGAGTCATATTTTATGATGCAATATTGCGTCAAGGTGAATGTTAACATATATATTCAGCTCTCATTTTCCTATATTTAAAATTAAGGTGCATGCTAAAATAATTACTTGACGATAATATTTCTCAAACGTTTTCATAATTTAAATTATCATAGTTGGTGGTGCAAAAAAGCAAATTTCTGAAAATATCAGTGCAAATGGTCAATTTTGATAATAAACTCATGATATTCAAGAAAGTATATTATTTTCGTATTTTCTGCTTTTAAATCGCCATAAAAATTAAAATGAAAGCTATGCCAACGGAATTAAAAAAGTTGAAATAATATTTAAAGCCGTCATAATTCAAACTTCACTTATAAATATTTGATGAATATGTAAGTTTCTATTATCAGAGCGAAAATTATGCATGCATAGAAGATTATCAGTAATAAATGAAATCGCAGAAAAAAAATAAAACAAATTTTAATGAGTAATAAAAAGGGAGCATCGAATATTTTCACTTTTTAAACTTCTTATTGGATATCATACCAATCATATATATTTTCCTCTTTTCAATGTCAATTTTGCTTTCAATTACCTACCTACCTATCAATCTTTTATTCAAACCATCTTTTATATAATCAAAGAGTTTTCAAATAATCACCGACAAACTTTCTCGTTGAAGCAAAAGCAAAAATGAGCTATTTAGCTATTTAATAAGCTATTTTTATTTCTCTTTATCATTAGTACCAGAGAATTTAAAAGAAGAATCTTTAAAATAAAATTAAAAATCTTCCGACTTTAGCAATAAACATACACACACATAAAATCTATTACAGCAAGCTATACAGATATTATTAAACTGATAAAATGATATATCAACTATGCTACTTACAGCTGGAATTGCTCTTAAATTAGCACAAAAAGTGATAATCGAAATAATCATGAACCTTTTTTCTTACTTCTCGATGTTTTTTAATACAATTTTTTGAAGTTTAATAGCTGATAAACGTGACAATCTCATGTTCTGACAAAAGAAGACCTATTCAGTTAGGCCGATCTCTTTTTGACTCCTTTGATTTTAAATCCATTTCATTACCTGTGGTATGTCAGTATAATGGCGAACATACACACAAATGAACAGAATAAGATTACAAACGACTAGCCAGTAAGTAATTATAATAGTCAATATGGGTATCTTGATTTTGACATATTTCGCTTCATATTTCGCATTTTAGATTTGTTCGATAAAAATAAAAAAAAAAATCACTGACCGACTTATATCCAGTGAACTGATCTTGGGATCAATAAGAATAACTGGAAAACAAGTCTAAGGAAATAAACTAGAAAGAGAAGTACTTGAATCTGAATCTGTCAATAAGAATCTGTCAAGAAGCATAATAATATATCACTACCCATCACTGCTTAAAGAATTCCTGTTTTTTTATTTTGCTCAAACCTACTGTTAAGTTATTGATTTCATTGAAAAACTGAAATTTATTGATGACGCGTTTTTTCTCTTTCTCTCTCTCTCAATTTCATCACTGTACAAGGTACCTGTAAAGGCATTTTTTCATAGTGGCATCTATAAACAGATCGGTTGGGACTTAAATATCAATATTGAAAGTTTGCTTCTTATTTATTCGTATCTCTGTTTAATTCCTATTATGCTTATTCTTATTTCTTTTTAATTAGTAGTAAATGTTTTGGATATCGTTATCTTCGTTTGAAATTGGTTTAATTTTATTACCTCACAACCTAAATCTTATGGCCATTACCTGAAGCAACTGAATTGCAAAATGTAAAAAAACTGTAAAAAAGGAATATAGTAATATCTATGGGATATTCATCATATGGGATTAGGCGGAACATCACCACATTAAT